TTGTAATGTTTGTCAGTGTGACCAAATAGTTGTTGGTTCAACTTAATATCTTAAGCTTATTGAACACATTTTCTCAAGTTAACTAAATTCGTTTTACAACTCAAATAAGACTTTAAACTAATTGTTCAACCTAAGTTCTTTTCACTCACATTTGTAAGGCAGCAAATGAACTTCTATGTTTAAGTTGAGCTCAAACTTATTTACAGTGTACAAACCAGCCAATTTGATAAATCAATTTGATATCATGTAGTCTCAGGGATCCTTATCTAAAAAGATAATAACTGTCCATAACTGTCTACACTGTAGAGTGGCAGATTAACTGTAAACAGTGTGAAACCTATGGACAGACTCAATTATCTCATTGTGCTAACTTTTGTCAATTAACTAATAAAGCAGGTTATATTAACATTATTAGCTCAATGTATTATGAATTGAACACAATTTCTTTACTTTATGTCTTTTATTTACTTATATACCTATTTATTACATAGGTTTCAGAAATGACATACCCATAATGTACAATTACTATGATTTAACCTCTAAAATGTTGCAGTGGCCTCCAAATGTTTCTGTGTTGTTTCTCATGTATTGCTGATGCATTGCAGATATACAACAATGACACCCAGTACTATTATTAAAACCACATGGTAAATATTGATTTGAATACAAATCAGTGTGTCAAGCTCTGGACAAAATCTTGTGCTACAAAATTATCTTGAGTAAGTGCCTAAACGTTTACATGGTACTTTAAATGGAATAAAATGTATACAATGTGACTATCAAAAACAAAGTTGTCCCAATATAGAAAAATAATTTTAAAAAGTGAATAAAACTAATCTTAGAACAGACCAGTACTACTCACCAGCAGCAATAACTTGCAGGATCTTCCTCTCAGATGCTGACAGGTCTCCTTTTTGAGGTGCAGCCATCCTCTCTGATCGGCTCTGGTCTGTTCTGCTCTGGATGATTGTAAACTGGACAAACTGCTATTCTGTCCAGCTGATGGTTAGAGTCTACAGGAGGACACAACCAGCACTACTGACAGTTGAGCCATCCCTGGAACATACCACTATAGCAAACAAAGGGGGAGACCCCTGTTGTCAGCTGAGTAAAAATGCTTACATGAAGAGTAGTAATTATTCTAAATGCCACTTGATTCAGCTAGTGAGATTTTCAAATACCAAATTAGGATGTCCAGTTCTGAATGGTCCCTCTGACTAATGTGTTTCATAGAGTCCAGACTCCCCGCACTGAGGTGTTAGGTCCGTCCTGTCTGCTGCACAGCAGACTGAGGCTCCTCCATTTGGACAACACAGTTTGGACAGGGAAGTGCACTAAAGCCGGATACACAAACTACTACAATCCACAGGTAAGTGAGCCTGTATGATAACTGCACTGTCACTGCTGACATCCCTACATGTACTAAGTCGTTTAGCCTTTAAATTTACACTGTGAGTCTTACCTTAAAGCTGCAGTAGGTCACTTTTGTAAAAAATAACTTGTTGTCATTAGTGTTAAACTTTTAATCCACCATGCCTGATCAAACCAACCAATCAGAGCCAAGAAAGATAGTTGATGCCACCAACCCAAAGCATTGGTATTCCACATCATGTATTACTGTCAGGAAATAGTTAAAGTTTCAGCAAATATGACAAAAAGTTATTTTTATATAAATTACCTACTGAAGCTTTAAGTGTGCCAAGCTGCAATTAACATTATTTTCATTGCTACTTTATAGGTCGACACTGCCGAGATAATATACATTTTACTATTGTTATTCTAATGTCATTACATGATTAAGTCCATTTGTTTCACCAGATGCGTAAATGCATTCAGTCTTCAATAATTAATAATCACATACATACAACATAAGGCACTAAGTCAGAGGAAGATTTTAGAGGTAATTCTTTAGGGACAGCAGTGGTGAAGCCACTGGTAACTACATTCTGCTTTAGTACAGTTTTGTACTTTACTTTAGTATGTCTATTTTACACTTCTATTTCACTACAGTTCAGAGGCAAATTCCATACACAAAACCAATTTTTTTTGCAATCACAAACAGTTATTTTTAGTAAGGTGCAGAATCCCTAACCCTACACAGCCAAACACATACACACACACACTGGAATCTAAGAGAGCAGATGGCTGAGATGTGAATTACATATCATAGTATGTACATAAATTATGCAAAGCTCATTACTACACTGAAACACTTGCTATTGCTATGTTAATATGTGACAGAAATGCCACCAGCCCACGGATTTTACAGTGAAGTGCTCAAGAGATTGTGTTCAGTTGGTGATTTGCATGCATTTATTGGCATATATTTTACTTTTGTGTGCTTGAGAGAAGAGAAGTAATGTGCTGTTTTCATAGCTCTTTGTTTACCACAGCAGCCGTCGCCATCCGTCCTTTGAGGGAATTTTTTCAATTCTGGCAAAATTGTCCTGTTGGACTCAAGGTTAAACTGATTTGAATTTGGTAGTCACTGTCACTGTGACCTCACAAAACACCTTTTTGGCTATAACTAAGGAGTTCATACGCTAACAAATGACAAAAATTTCACACAAATGTCTCATCAGATAAAATAATCAAGTGATGACATTTTATATCAAACAGGTCAACGGTCAAGTTCACAGTGACATGATATTGCAAAATCTTTTTCTGGCCATTATTCAACACCATATCCAAGCAGAAGGGGAGAATATAAAGCTTCTTTGCAGCAACATCCATATTTGAGCTTTGTAGACCACCACAAGTTCACTGGTTTAGCTGATTGTTAGCTTAATGGAATGCATCATGTGACAAAACTCCCTATCAGTCCTTATACTAGTCTCTAAAGAAACATGTTTCTCACTGGAAATTATTAACTAGAATCATATATGTCAATTTTCCAAAAACTACACTTAATACCTTTTATTAAACATGACCCGATACCATATTTTCCTTCCCGATACTGATTCTCATACCTGAATTTTGCATATCAACCAAAAAAGAGTACCAATCCAATACGTGTCCGTTAAAAAATTTAAATGTATGATTGCTGTCATAGTTGTAGGTTAGGTGGTAGGTTTGTCACAGTCAGAGTAGGGCGGGTCATGACTTTGCTATCATGGGGGGGACCTCACCACCAGTGAGGTTCAGTCCCCAGACCGGCAGGATAAATCTCCAGTCCCTCCGGGAAGTTGCTACAGTTAAGGCAATCTCTGTGACTTCTGTGAGACTTAACCGTTAGCCAATAAGAAGAGTCTTAGTCTTAGCCCTATGTGCGACCTTGCAATTTTCTCTAATTAGCGTAACTTTACCAAAAATTTGACCAATAATTAATAATTGTTTCACCAATTGTACCAGTTCCCTACGCAAAAGGCTGAGCTATATGCCACCAAACTACTGATGATTTTATTATCACTAAAACAAACTGCCTTTCATTTTTAATGAATTGTATAAAAAAAATGTTCACTTTCTCACGCAATTTAATTGTAAAAATGTCTAAAAACATAACATGCATTGCAATTTTTTTTTATTTATTTTTTTTTAAAAAGCTGCCATAACATCAGGCATTTTAGGCTGCAACAATCCCATAAAGAACCCGTAAAATCCTAGAGGAACTCTCAGTGAGGAAGGTGAGGTGCCCTCGATCATGGCCCTTTATTCCCAACTGCTCACAGACTACACTGCAGTTGTACTGGGTGTAAATGTTTGAGATAATTTCTCTCAGTGAATAAAAACCTCACTGAACAAATACAGCTTAAAAAAAGAAAAGAGACAGATGAAATCAACACTTAGCTGTGGAGGCAGGTGTTGCTCCAGCCCTGTTCCTCTTAATATGTTGTGCAAGAGCAGGTAAGTGATGACAGTGATTGACTCATTTCCGGTTTACTTCTCTTAGTTGTACAGGTGACATACACTAGTAGGGGATACGTGTCTGCAGTCTGCAACGGTGAGTGATGACGTCACAGCGTGCGCCGCTACTGCCGATCGTGGAGGAATGTAAGCAAATGAGACAATAGTGCCGAAAACGTCACGGGAGCAGATAACCCTATGGCCAGCAAATTCAATGTTAGGCCGTTTCAGATTTCTGCCTTCTTGACAACATGTCAGGGTACACCATTTAAAGAGTTTAACAAGACAGCAAGCCCTTCCTCCCAACTTTTTACCGCTGTGTTTTTCCTGTCAAGCCCAAACTAGTGAAAAACCGGCTAGTTTCCACTGAACAGTCTGGTAAATGGTAAATGAGCCTGTACTCGTAATAGCGCCCTTTACATAGTCTTCCGACTACTCAAAGCGCTTTTACCTAACGTGCCCACATTCACCCGTTTCACACAGTGATGGCCAAAGTCATTGACCAGACTAACTAATTCAAGTCAATTTGAGTTCAGATCTTGCTCAAGGATACCTTCGACAAAATATGGCAGGAGGAGCCGGGGGATCGAACCACAACCTTCCAATTGGGGGGACGACCCGCTCCTTGCCTCTGAGCCACAGCTGCCTGGCTGACATGGTGTAATGTCATTCAGCCATGTCTCCGGTCAACATTAATAT